TAATTATTGCAAATAAGGGAAACCATGGGACCTATATTTCTCTGAGTCTGGCTTACTTCATTTAATATGATTTTATCCAAGTCTTCCTATTTCCTAACAAATGGGGCAGAGTTGTTCTTTCTGATGGAAGCATAGAATTCCATTGTATATATACCACATTTTCTTGATCCATTCATCTATTGGGAAACATCTGGGTTGGTTCCATAGCTTAGCTATGGTGAATTATGCTGCAAAAAAACATAGTTGTGCTGGTAGCTTTAGTATGGCCTTGTTTGTGATCATTTGGGTAAATGCACAGAAGTGGGATTGCTGGGTTATAGGGGAACCGCTTTGTGTGGTCATTTGAGAAACCTCCATACTTCTTTCCAGAGTGATTGAACAAGTTTACACTCCCACCAACAATGCAATAGGATTCCCTTTGGCCACATCCCCTCCAGCATCTGTTGTTACTAGATTTCTTGATTATAGCCATTCTATCTGGGGTGAGGTGGAATGTCAATATGGTTTTGATTTGTATTTCTTTCATGGCTAGAGAAGTTGAGCATTTCTTCATGTGTCTATTGGCCATTCTTATTTCCTCTTCAGTGAAGTCTCTCTTTAAGTCTTTAGCCCACTTATTAATGGGTGGTTGTTTCTATGAGGATTTGTTGTTGGGGGGGTTAATTTTTTGAGTTCTAAGTATAGTTTAGATATGAGACCATTGTCCATTATATGGCTAGTGAAGGTCTTCTCCCAATCTGTGGGCTTTCTATTGATCTTGCTAGCTATGTCCTTTGCCATGCACAAACTGCAGTTTCATGCAATCGCATTTGTCCAGGCTTTCTTTGATTATTGTGTTTCTGGGTCTTCATCAAGAAAATTTCGCACCATGCTAAGGAGCCCTAGAGTTTCTCCTATTCCTTTCTGTAATGTTTTCAGGGTGTCTGCTTTGACTTTGAGGTCTGTGATCCATTTGGAGATGATTCTGGTGCAGGATGATATATAAGGATCTAGCTTTAGTTTTCTACAGGTGTTTAACCAATTTTGCCAACATCATTTATTACTGAAGAGGCTGTCTTTCTTCCATTCTAATTTTTAGCTCCCTTATTGAAGTTTAGGTGGCTATAGATGTGTGGGTTCATTTCTGGGTCTTTAGTTCTATTCCACTGGTCCTCAGATCTGTTCTTGTGCCAGTACCAAGCTGTTTTGATTACTATGCCTTGGTAGTAAAGTTTGAAATTTGGTATTAATATTCCTCTAGCAATATTCTTTCTGCTAAGGATTGTTTTTGCTATTCAGGGTCTTTTATTGTTCCACATGAAATTTGAGGCTGATTCTTCTATTTAACTGAAGAATGAGGTTGGGATATTGATAGGTATCACATCGAATTTGTAGATAGCCTTTGGCAGTATTGCCATTTTCACAATGTTAATCCTCCAAATCCAGGAGCCTGGGAGGTTTTTCCACTTCCTTAGTTCTGCTTTAATTTCCTTTTTCAGGCTTTTAAAGCTTTTATCATAGAGGTCCTTCACGTCTTTAGTTAACTCTTAGGTATTTTATTTTTTGTGGGGCTATTACAAAAGGAGTTGCTTTCCTGATTTCAGCTGCACTCTTTTCATTGCTGGCATACAAAAAGACCATTGATTTTTAAGGGTTAATTTTATACCCTGCTACATTGCCAAAGTTTCTAATCAGCTTGAGTAACTTGGGAGTAGAGTCCATGGGGTTCTTTAAATATAAGATCATGGGGCTGGGAAGGTTGCTCAGTGGTAGAGCGCTTGCTTGCATGCATGAGGCCCTGGGTTCAATTCCTCAGCACCACATAAGCAAAAAGGAAAAAAAAGCCGGAAGTAGCCCATGACCGGACCCAAAAAATAAATAAATAAATAAATATAAGATCATGTCATCTGCAAAGAGGGAGAGTTTTACTTCATATTTCCCTATTTGGATCCCCTTTATGTTTTCATCTTGTCTTATTGCTCTAGCTAGTCACTCTAATACTAAATGGAAGAGAAAGGAAGAGAGTGCAAAACCTTGTCTTGTTCCTGAATTTA